AAATCGTCAGTACAGCCTCCTACCCGTCATGTATTGAAAAGACATGTAACTAATTTGCTAGAAGGATTAGTGAAAGGAAAAGACAAAGAGAGTAAGAAGGAGGGAAACTATTTAATGTAATGAAAGAAGTAGAAGTGATAGAGCAGGTGGAAGAGCTGGAAACTACCATATGATAAGGATAGTAATTTAGGGCAGTGTGCTGGCGATCGACAGGGCTGTGCGGTTGGCACAAGGATTGACATCTCCCCCAGCAGCAGCTTCAACAGCGGCTCGGGGAACGTGGAGTGCGAAGACCGGACGGACCGTGCTGACCGTGGCACTCCGATCAGCACCAACCGAAGAATCACAGACTCGGAGCTCCGTAACTATCAGTTTTGATATTTTCTGTTGAACTAATAAAAATCGAACTCGACGTGTGTCGCAATGAACACAACAAATACAAACACCCATTCATCTAGTTAGGCATCACATTCCGATTCCTTTCGCGGGTTGGCAGTTGCTCAGCCGTAATATATACATTTAAAACTAGGAACACCGATGAAACTTAGAGGGGGCACACACACTCTTCTACCCCCCACTTTTGCATGCTTTCAGTTTCTCTTGAACGTATGCAATACGCAAGTGCATCATCGCTTCACAGATTCTTCAAACCACCGCAAGGTTTTTTTTAAGATTCGCAGTAAAGCAATACGTTTTCGTTACGCTTGTAAAAAACAAACCTCTTGTCCAACCCCTTGAACTGCGTCCTCCATATTGAGGCATTCGCGGAATGTACCGAAAAAACCGTGACTCGGAGTCCTGGAATGAAAGAGACACAGTGGAAAATTATATAAAACGGCTGATAACAAACAGAACCTGATGGACCTGAACATCCTATAAACGATCAAACACCTCGAAAGCATAGATGTCGTGATTTTTCTCCAGCAGTAAGTCAGAAAAAAATAATTGACCAACGCACGGGCTGCCCATGCGAAGATGCATTTTTTGCATAGTTCCCCACAGTTTTTGTCGCTCCTTTAGCTAAACAAATTGAGACTGGCCGCCAGAACTGCCAGGAAACATCCCCTTAAAATTTCAGCTTTCTAGCTTTTCTGACTCCTGAGTTAGCAATTTAGTGGAGGAAAACTTTCACGGCCCAACATGTGGGTATCATGGATGCACGGGGACTGGTTTTGAGCACACTAACACCTACTTGGACGGGGAACATCCCCCTAAGATTTCAGCATCCCAGCTTCTCAGATCTCCGAGTTATGAACTTACCCGAAAGCTTGGCGGGCTGTACGCGGGTACCACGCTTACCCCGGGGATGGGTTTGAGCTCATTAATACCTACTCGGATGGGGAACACCCCCCTAAGATTTCAGCATTCCAGCTTCTCAGATCCCCGAGTTATAAATTTATGCGGGAAAATTTTGGCGGGCCCGTACGCGGGTACCACGCTTACCTGTGCGCTGGGTTTGAGCTCGTTAGTACCTACTTGGACGGGGAATGTCCCTTTAAAATTTCAGCCTCCTAGCATTTCTAGCTCCCGAGTCAGCAGCTTACCCGTAAAAAAAATTGGCGGCCAGTGCGTGGGTACCACGCTTACCCGTGGGATGAGTTTGAGTTCGTCAGTACCTACTTGAGCGGGGAATGTCCCCTTAAAACTCCAGTCTCCTAACATTTCTGGTTCCCCAGTTATCAACTTACCTGAAGAAAACTTTGGCGCGCCCATAAGCGGATACCACGCTTACCCGGGAGCTGGATTTGAGCTCATCAATACGTACTTGTACGGGGAACATCCTCTTAAGATTTCAGCCTCCCAGCTTTTCTGGTTCTCGAGTTAGCAGCTTACCCGCAAAAGAGTTTGGCGAGTTCTTACTGGGTACCATGCGGGTAGGACCGCCCTCTTTGGGGATGCGGGCCCGTACGTGCATGTAGATTAAGCACCCGAAGTTTCAACCCTGTAGCTTTTGTAGGTCTCGAGATGAAAAATCGGTACAGAGGCCCTGGGTACACACACATACACACAGAAAACCTCTCGCCAATATGCGTTTCCCGCATTGCATTGCTGCAAAAAACGCATAAAAAGATAATTACTAAAAATATTCTTAGAAAAAATAAGAAACGCAATCATCAAATTTTTGCAAAAACTGTCGCCAAGTTGTCAGAACTAGCCTAAAACAGGACTCGCGGTGCTTAAGACCAAACCGTAGGATGACTGTGCGGTACAAAATATACCCCCCCCCCCCC